TAGTGTGGACAAGTTCTATAACCTCAACGGTATACTCCATTGAGCACGAGACAATTCCTAGATCTTGATGAATATGTTTCCCTACGTCATAGTGTGGACGAGTACTATAACCTCAGCGGTATACTCTGTTGAGCACGAGTCAGTTCCTAGATCTTGATGTTTTCCTCCGTCATAGTGTGGACAAGTTCTATAACCTCAACGGTATACTCCATTTAGCACGAGACAGTTCCTAGATCTAGATGAAGATGTTCCTCGAGTCATAGTGTGGACAAGTACTATAACCTCAACGGTATACTCCATTGAGCACGAGTCAGTTCCTAGATCTTGATGTTTTCCTCCGTCATAGCATGGACGAGTTCTATAACCTCAGCGGTATACTCCATTGAGCACGAGACAGTTCCTAGATCTTGATGAAGATGTTTCTCCATGTCATAGTGTGGACGAGTACTATAACCTTAACGGTATACTCCGTTGAGCACGAGTCAGCTCGTAGATCTTGATGTTTTCCTCCGTCATAGTGTGGACAAGTTCTATAACCTCAACAGTATACTCCATTGAGCACGAGACAGTTCCTAGATCTTGATGAAGATGTTTCCCCCCAACTGAATTATGGACAGGTTCTTAAGACTCAGCCGAGGCATTCTCTCAGTTGAAGTACGGGCCAGATTCCTAAATCTCAACAAAAGTTAGACTTCCCCAGCGGAATCTTCTACAACAACAGGTATGCAAGTTATCGCTAAGGAATCTCTTATGCGGTCGACATTCCTGCAGATGGAATTTGTAAGCTCATTCCCAACATCACAATGCTGATACTACACCATGTGAATGCAAATTTTTGGGCACTCTAGTGTTCAATTATCTTCCACCTTCGGATCACGAAAGGCTCGAAAGCCAATCTATATCCTCAGGTTTAAGAAAATTGAACAGGGGAAACTGTTGTACCCCAAAATTTGCCCTCCCATATTCCTCAAGACATGTCAAGAGAAATCTCCAAGTTGCTCAAGTTGGCTCAAGAATTGGACAGTCAAATCACCTCCTAAGGCAGTCAAGTCAAAATTAGGGTTTTGTGTTGCATCAAGGTCCTCACATCCAAATGACCTCAAGTTCTCCCCAATGTCCTAATATGTTCTTAAGTTCATCCATGTCAAATTTCAAGCCTTGTAGAGGAAGTTTGGTCAGTCAATTTCTCAAGAGACCCAAAAATCGACTGTGTTAGGTCAAAAGTCAATTGTGTCCCAAATACAGTCAAACCTCAAGATTTTTTGTCAACATTCTCATTTTGAAGGATAATTCATCATTTGATCAAGGGTTGATCATGATTCATCAAATATTGTTCAAGATTCATCAAGATTCAATAGTTGCTAAATTAGGGTTTTGTAGGAAAAGTCAACTCAACTTTGACCAATAATAACTTTCTCATACTTTATGATAAATGACCCATCCAAAGCTCATTTTGAATAGGATGCCATTTCCTACAATCCATCTTCACACCCCCAAGATCAAGAAATTCTCTCACAAAAAGTTACAAATTTGGATATTATAGGTCATTTTTGAAAGTCAACAAAAACACCTTTTTTTTCTAAAGCTTATAACTTGAGCATGGAACATCAAAATGAGATGAGACCAAAAGGTTTGATTAGATGACATATCAAGGTTTCTAAAAAGTCCAAGAACACCTCCAAAAGTTCAAAATTGAAGAAGTTATGCATTGTTGAAGTTGGGAATTTTTCCAAAATTGACAAAAGTTAACTATCCTCAAAACTCCAATTTTTGACAAAAGGGCCCACTTTTTTCCACTTGATATAGTCTTGTCGTGCCACACACGTGTTCCATCTTTAATTTCATGACCAAACATTTATTTTTCTATTTTATTTCATTTTTATTGATTTAATTCATTATTAATCAATATTAAATAAAATAAAATCTAAAAATTGATGTAAGGAGATTCTTGTGATCAGTACAGCTTACAAATATCATGTGATACTCAATCAAACTCGTGCCAAGTCAAAACATGCAAAAATCTCAGATTTGATGCAATTTTGGAAAGCTTATCGATGGTGGTCAAACAAATCTTCCATCTTCAATGCATAAGGATTATGGCCCAAATTTTAACCTAAACACATTCCATTATATGCACACAAGTCACACAAACCTAAACACGCATAGAACACTGCTGAAATGGCCAGAGCAAATTGGTAAAAAAGCTTGAAAAGTGGGAGATCGAAAACAACATTGGAGACCAATTCAATCCAAAACCACAACATAGTTCTCTTCCCGACATCCAGTGGAGCTATACCAATCAAAACCAAGCCCTAAGACAGCCTGAAACTCACTGTAAGTATCCACGAACCTTGCTCTGGACATGATATCGTGAAATCATATTCTTGCATCTTTTCTTTAAAATCTTGGCATATTTGTGTTTATTATTTGATTTAGAACATTTTGGCATTATCCAATTTGATTTTCATGGCCTGTATAATGATGCCCGAATCTAAGGTTTACATGTGGTGTTTTTAGGCGTTTGAGTTACAGGAAAAATTGGATCAAGCAATGGTTATAGGGATATTCAGGAGGCAAAGACAAACACATCCATGTCCTTGGATGGTATTTTCATGGCCCGGGAGAGATTTTTGAAAATGTCCTATGAATCGTCCTGCGGATAAAAATCCGCAGGTAAACGAACCAGAGTTTTTGGAGAAGACGACCAGACGTCGCCCTCCCATTGGTCTATTTGAAAATACGCGCTTTTTATTTTTTGCCAGGCATAATTAACTATTTTGTATATAATATTTGTTTCCTATTCCACTAACGAATGTGCAAGTTGGTTGGATTGGTGAGCGTGCTATTTCAAAACCCCCTGGGACCTGGGTTCGAATCCCAGGTCCCCCAAAATGCTTATTATTATTTTCTTGCAGATATTCCAATGATTTTCCAGGTATGAAGACCACCATGCACCTCAAGAATCAACGTGCCAGATGGCCTTCAGGCCAAATCTGTTGGTCATGAATGAAGGACCACCATGGTCTCAGGTCAATGCATGCATAGCCAACCTCAAAAGTCAAACAAGGCTGGACGTTTTGGGCCATGGAATTTGCTAGATTCACCTCTTTTTGGGCCCAGCACCCCCTGAGTATTTCTTTTTACATTTTATTTCTTTTCATTATTTTTTCTATTATTATTATCTTAATCAATTAATTAGCCAATTAACCTTTTTCATAAAAAAATCAGAAACAAAAAATAATATTTTTATTAATTCCATTAATTTTATTATTTTATTTTTGTAAATAAACATTAATTAATTTATTTAGTTTTAATTAGGTATAATTTTTAACATATTTTGTAATAAATTAAAATTAATTTAGAACTAGTTTTTTTAATATTTTTAACCATTCTTATTTTGTTTCATTAATTAATAAAAAACCAAAAAATATTTTTATTTAATTAATTAATTCAATCATTAAATTAGACTAATTTTTAATTAAAAAAAACAACAAAAATATGCTTTATTTAATAAAAAGGGTCAAAACCCTAAAGACACTCCGATTTAATTTTCTCGCGCGCGAATTACTTTTTATCCATATTTCAATATTGTAACTGCTTCGGGAATGTAATAGTTTTTAATTAGGGTTTTATTTATCGCTTTTATTTACTTTTCGCTATTTAATTTTAAAGGGTTTGTCTTTGGCGATGTAAATACCCGACGCCTTGTAATAACTTAGATTTATTTTCCCCAATTTAATTCCCGCAACCATTAACTGTTAGATGTTTGAATAATAGGCAATGCATGACAAGATTAATCTTTAATTTAAAATCAACATTAGCTCACCATAACATGTACAAAGATAAATAACTGAAAAATAACACACTCGCACATGCCACTCTTAGGGTACACCTCACTTGGTTGCCTCGAACGTGGTCATTGAGTATAGGAAGTTTTAGAGGTCGCCCTCTTGTCCAAAGATCAAAGTTGCCTCGAAACGGTTGCCTCGGATAAAATGATCTAAGACATTAGGGTTACCGCTAAGGCGTCCTAACATTGCTTTAGTGACCACACGTCCCTTAATCGAATTGACCCGAAAACTCCAACGACGATGCTACCCACTCCTCAATAGTGGGATAGTATTCTCTAAAGGACACTTGTACAGTTTAATTCCTTTTTGAGTAGGTAGATGTTCTTAAGTACTTGCTCCTTTTAAAAACAAAACAAAACTTTTCGCACTTACACCCCTTTCAAACAAAAACTCTTTTCAAACCCACAATCACAAAGAAAAGCAAACTTTTGAAAACATAATGAGCAAGTACCCAAGAGCCCGTGGATAACCACGGATAGAAAGGGTGCTAACCTCTTCCCTTTCTATAATCTGCCTTCTGAACCCGAGAAACGTCTCGAAAAGGAATTTTTCTGTGCTTTTGTCCTTTCCTTGTTGGATAAAATAAAAGACGGTGGCGACTCTTGCTTACCGCGAAATTTTGCGAAAACAAACGCAAAACGCGAACCAGCATTCCAAAACAGTCAGTTCTCATTCCCACCGATCACACTATGCATTCTAAACCTTCTTCAGAATTGAACATCTGTGTATACTAGATTTTTCGAGAAGTAGTCATTGAATAAACGATTGTGCCCTTCTTCACGATTTCGATCTATCACTGTTCTTCTCTTTGGCCTAGAGGAACTTCCAGATTGATGTTCCTTCTCGAGCATTGACTTTAGTAGTTCTTCATCAGTGTTGTCCATAAATTCTTCTTCAATCAAGTCCCAAAAGAGATCATCTGAATTGTTTGATCCATTAAAGTGAATGAAGAATGAAAGAAGAATGAGAGAAAAAAGAGAGAAGAATGAGAGAAGATTGAGAGAAGAATGAGAAAATAATGAGAAGAGTGGTCATTTATATAGTGATATATGAATAACGGCTAGTTTGAATAACGGCTAGTTTGAATAACGACTAGTTTGAATAACAACATAATATTTATTATAAATTAAATTGGTACTAATGACCATTTTACATAGGTGTTGATACATAATAAGTACTACATCTTTTCATAATAACTAAAATCCATATTTTTTTCTTCAACTCATTACAATATTTTTCATGAATATCTCGTTGACTATCATTCATCATAGAAGTGTCTTTCGAGAGTAATTGCATTGCCTTATACTCCATCTCGTCCTCCTTACATTGAGCTAGTCTTTCCATTGTCGCTACTCTTTTATTCCATGTTTCCTGCACAACATTAGAAGGTGATTCAGATGCATTTTCCTTTGCCTTACTCTTTCTTTTTGCTGCTTGTTGTCCCATTAGACGCTCCATTGGTGATGATGAGTTAAACTCATAACTTGAAGGTGTCGCGAGGTTAGACGATGATGAGTGTGCCCCAATAGCAGAATTCTTTGTTCTTTTTGAAGAATTTTTGGTCGATGCTCCCATCCATTTAGGTTCATCCTTTAACAATCGCCATGCGTACTCAAGATTGAATGGTGTACCTTCATCTTGAGAAAAAAATGCATATGCAGCAGCCAAGATATCTTTCTCCGAAGTCCCACTTTTCTTTCCATTAACAACTTATTTGTAACACCCAACAAATTTTTGAACCAAGCCATTTATTCGATGCCATCGAGATTTTAATTGCCCACGTAGCTTTTCCCGCGATTGTCCACGATACTCGTTATAATTGGTAGTGATTCTTAACCAAAAACTCTCAGCTTTTTGATCAACTCCTACAATTGAATCCTTTGAAACATTGAGCCATGATTGGATAAGAAGTATATCTTCATCCCTTGAAAATACCTCTCGAGCTTTTTTTTAACAGGGCGACTTTCTTCTTTTTCAATACCGACTTGAGTTGAAAATGGTGGAACTTGACTTTCGGACATAGACACAATCGGTGTTTCCGGTTCATGACGAAAAAATTCCATAGATGGTTGACCATATGGTGGAGTTTGGTGACGGAAAAAATGCGGCGGAGTGTTTCCGGTTGATGACGGAAAAAAAGAGGCGGATTTTGTTGGCATCGATGGGAATTGAGAATTTTGAGGATTAGGATTTTGAAAGTTTTGCATGAAATTGAACATAGATTATTGATAATTAAATTGATTAGGATCCATTTGGCCTAAACAATATTAATTTTGAAGTAAAAAGGTAAAAATTTGGGTAAAATATATTGTCAAATGAAGGCTAATGAGAATAAATTGTAAGAGAAAAATTTCAAAATTTAGAGTAAAGTGATAAAAAATTTAGAGAAAAATTGAAAACTTAAGAGAAAATAAAAGTGTGAAAGAAAATTTGTGTGTAAAATTTTTCAAATAGGGTGTATTTATAACTAACTAAAAACGTTTAAAAAAAAAGAGAAAAAAAAATAGAAAGTGACGTTACAATCAAAATTTAAATTATATTAATATTTTAATAGAAACTACTTTTGCACTGTATAGGAATGGTTGAACAGGTCACATGTCTTCAACGACAATAAAATTTAATACTCTGTATGTTAGGTGGAAAAACAAAAAAAAATTCTCTCGTTGGAGATACTCTAAACAATCAGAAATGAGTGTCTAGTTGGAATAAAATCATTTTATTTATTTATTCAAATGTCCCTTATAAAAATGATAGGAGAAGGTGTTTTTATTTTATTTTAAATATGAAGTATGAAAGAACTATTATAAATATTAAAAAAAAAATTAAATAGAAGTATTCCACTATAACTTTAAAAAGTAAATATAACAACAATTAATGAAACGTTGATTATTAATTATGGTGCACTATATTAATTATTTGTATAAAGTAGTTTCATTAAGACAATCCCTAAACCTAATGATTTTCATAATGTTAGTTATGTTCAAACATCTATTAGTTATGTTTCACAATTTTAGTTAAGTGGCACATATTATTGCCTAAAACAAAAATGTTAACACAAATGAGATTGAAAAGGAAGTGAAACCATACAAAATAATTATTGGAATCATAGTTGGAATGAAATGAAGAGTAAAAACAATAATTTTATAATTTGATTTAAATATATTGTTACTCCTTTCTTTATAAAAAATTAATAATCATAAAAGAACATTAATGGATTAATGGATTAAGTACTATCGAAGTCGTTTAATTTACTTTTATATTTCAACTTAATGAAAGAAATGTTTTGGCTTATTTATTTTTTAATTTTATATAGATACTTAATAAATTGTAAATAACTAATCTTCTAGTATGTTGTTATGGAATACAATATCTCTCATGTCTACTGAATAGTCGGGAAAGAGTGTCTCGTTGGACTAAGCACACCCGGGCAGGTGGTTCCTAAGAACGGAGCGATTTCATGAACCATTTCGAGCGGTTGGTGCTTTGCTGGATACCCCGCCCCTCACCCATGTGTTGGAATTCCTCACTTTTATGTAAGTTGTCCCCTTTTGGATCCCAATAAGAATGTATCATTACATAATCCCTCAAGCACTAGGGCTTGGTAAAAGGAGAAGTGTTTAATTGAATTTTCACTAGAGCCTGTCACATAAGAGTCTGTCTAATGAGGCTTTAAGTCCCTCAAGCGAGGCCTTAATTCTCTCATGCAAGACTTTGATTGAGACCCTTTGGAAAGAATTTTAGGTTAATTCTCTCGGGCCAAACTTTACTTAGGTCCCTATAGAGAAACCTTGGGCTAGACCTTATCTAAGGAGATTCATAGTCCTTAATGCGAGGAGTTTGAAGGTATGCGAAACACAAGAAATGGGGGTTTGAATTGAGTTTCTAGGATTTAAAAAAATTCTTCCCAAGACAAAAACCAAGAACACAAGAATAAAAATAAATAACACAAGTATTTTTATCCTTGTTCACTATTAACTAAGTTAATCCAGTCCACCCGTCAAGGTGATTTTTCCTTCTCAAACAAGGACTTAATCCACTATAACCGAAATGATTACAGACAAACAACAAGACTAGTTGTCACTGTTGTAAAACCATAAAGACTAACTGTCAATGTCTTCTTGATAATCTTGACTAACATTGGTTTCTCAAGGAACAATCAACCTAAGAGTTGAAATACAATAGGTGTGTTTACATATTTTCTTCTTGAAAGAGGATTACCCAAGTTCGAATATAATCAAATTATACAACAACATTAATAGCAAGTTAATGAACAAAAGCTCCTTGCTTGCAAGTTAACAAACAAAATTTTCTCGCAAAAATACAAAACTATACAAGGAAAATATTAGAGTATTTGAGCAGTGTTTCAGCATAAGTTTTGTAGAGCAGATTCTTGTTTTCTAATTCATCCAAGTATCCCTTTTATAGCTTAAAAGCAATTCGTTGGAGGGTAAAATGAGAATTCTGAAATCCAATTGATTTGTCCACAACGGTCAGTGTGGGTATTGTCCTTGCGCCACTATATCAGGGTAGTGGGAACATTTGTGCCTTATACTATTTCCTCACATAAACTAATTTTGATCTTATCTTCTAATCTTCCTAGGCTTTTGATGGTTGATGACCAAGCATGCTTAGAAGGACTAAAACTTGAATCTTCAGAACCTAAGTCTTCAAAACTCGTTCATCCATAACATTGTCTTCCGAGTCTTCAACACTTGGTCTTTAGAAGAGTTATCTTTAGAATCTTCAGAACATGTTATTATAGAACCTTGTCTTCAGAACTTGGACATACAGAACTATAGCTTAAGAATTCCTGATAAGCTCTATCACTAACGTTCATCAGAATCATTCTTATAGAAGCATTCTAGAATCTTGACTGGGTCTTATAAACACCACTGGTTTCTTCTAGAGTCTGAGTGTATTGAGTCCAGAACTTGATGACATCACACGGCTTATCTTCGGAGTCAGAACCTATTAGAAAAAGATACACATTTGACAAAAACCTTTAGAGTACTAAATTTTTCTCTAAGATATCGTGTAATATTATCATAAAAACTTAAGGCCAGATGCAGAACCAAATCTTGTTCTTACAATCTCCCCCTTTTTGATGATGACAAAACCATGTATTTTGATGAATAAATTATACTAGGTTTAATCACATAAAATATATTCATAGTTATCTAAACAACTCCCTCTGAATCTGATACTCCCAAATATAATTTAAGCTTGTTCAAAGGCTCTCTTTGAGCTCAAGACTTACAAAATGATTTTGAAGTACATAAGGTAGAAGGAAAGGAATACTTCTATGTTTGACGTCTCATAAGAGTCTGACTAGAAATGCTTGATTCTTCATCTCAGATACGTGTTTGCTATCAGAACATAATGACATATCAGAACATGAGTTGATAATGCATCACATCAAGTATCAGAACTTGGTTCTTCATGAATCTTTACCATGTCATCATAAGGTTCAGAGAATCTAAACTTTTCCTAGTTGACCATGTCTCTGACTATATTTTCAGAAAGTTCAAAACTTTTAAAATTAGCATGGTTTCTTCATGCTTATTGATCATGTCTTCTAAATACCAAATATCCTGTCTAAAAATTCAGTGAACTTTCACAAAGTTCCTAAGTCAAACATTAATTAGAAGCAAAAAAAAAATCAGAACATGTATGGGTAAGATTCTTGAGAATAAATATATCAAAATCATCTTAACTTCTCCCCTTTGTCATAAATAAAAAATAATTTAAGCATATAACCAAAAAGTAAAACATCATTACATTAATTGATAATGTACATAATTTTTGAAATATAACAAAAGAAGGAAACTAAGTTCCAAGACAAAGGTAAAAAATGTTGGCTAGGGCTTGTACGAAAGCCTCGACGAGATCTCCTTCAGAATCTGCATGATTCCTTTGTTGAGATCATGCTGCTATTCACGCCTCTTATCCTGCAACTCCAATCTTTCTCTGACAAAAGCCTTCTCTGTTCGAAACTCAACCAGAGTTTGGTGAACCAGACCAGAAAATTCCTGAATCCCAAAAGGAGGAGCCTTCTTAGTGCCTGAAGTAGATTTAATTCCTTGGCCAGAAGTATTCTTGACGAGAGCGAGATCCTGCTGTTTAAAAGCAAGTTCTTTAGAACCAGGCACTTTCGGAGCCGAATCCAGAAGCACTAGAGGAGGACAGCAACGTGCAACAATCTTTGCATTGATTATCCTTCTAGCTTCCTTAAAGCAGAAGAACTAAGCTTCAGAAGTATTGGTGATCACCCAGTTCGTGTATTCATTCCAAATTCTACTCGTTTCTTTAGGACTCATCCCGTCAAAATATGTGTCCATCAAGGACCGCAAATGATCCACAATCTCATATTCAAAATTTAGTAATAATTCATGAGAGGGTGGTGGAAGTATGTTCGTTCGAAGAAGGAGAGGATTAGAGGGGGTGGAGTAAAGATTGGGATCTCTATCTGGAACTGCAGTGATTTCTATTTTAGAATCAAGAACCAGTTCAAGATGGTCAAGGTTGATTAGAGGATTTGTAGGTTTCATATAGTTAAGAAACTCTGTACCTGTATTAGAATCTTCTGATGCAGTCAAATGAGCATCTAGGTTAGGTGAAGGATATGAGGTGTTTTTATGGTTGTGAAGATAAGAAATGACTAGAAAACTGAGGAGGAGTTTCTGAAAAAATTGTCTTATAAACAATAATAGGTTTAATGAAGGTTGGTTTTGGGAGGATGATGAAGTAGATGTTTTGGTTGGTCGAAATATTTGAAGTAGGTGTGGTTAGGGTGGAAAACGTGGAAAATGAATTATTACTTTCATTATGAATAAAATACTCATAAGGAAAGTCCTTACTTGAGTTAGACTTGTGCTTCCATTTCTTCTTTGCATGCCCAGAAAAATAATCTTTAACCATTTTCTTGAAAAACATCCATTTCCTCTTGTCTGAAGACAAGTAAGGATTAACTGAGCTCACCTTTGAAAAGATAGAACTAGTGTCTTATGGGAAAGGTTTAGGAAATCTTGCAAGATTATAAGCAGGATAACCTGATGCAACTATTCTTCTGTTAGAGATAGATTCTTCATCCAAATCTTTTGGAAGAATGGTATCTTCTGAAATTATCTCCATATCCAATAAATCCTTACCATCTAGAGGACGACCAATCATAACTTCCATCTTTTGAGCAAGATTTAATGCTTCTACCAGCAGACTTTCAATGAGAATGTTTGTGATCAGTCTTCCCATAGGAATCTGAGCTCGAATTCTAGGATTACCATATCTAGCCTTTGTGATTAGGTCTTCTAAGTAACTAAACATGATTGCTAGCAGGTTGAGCTTTTCTCCCGAAGTTATGTATTATAATCATGTACTTCAGATCAACATTGACAAAATCTGCAGAATTTATGGATTGGATGTGATGTATACAGCCTAAATAAATTCTAAACCAAATCTGCAAATTCTTGTGAAGAATCCTAGCTCGAGAGGAATCCTTTCCATCTAGGAAGATAAAAGGGCAGATCACACTAATCCTTACTAAAAATTGTATTCAGGCGTATTTTTAATCACTGATTGACAGCTGAAGCACCTAATGCCAATTCCATCATGTTGAAGTACTATTGCAATGTCTTTTTTCGAAATATAAATGTCATTTCCCATAACTTTAGAAGAAATGTAGCCATCAGGTGAAACAAACACATGAATCCAAAAGTCTTTGGCCCGTTCAGGGTAAACTGGACCTTTCAAACCATTGAAAAATGTTTTCCATCCTTGAAACTTCAAAACATCAATGAAGTCGAACCCATTAGCTTTTAGGTTATCGAAATCCACCTACATCTAACAAAGAACTTCCATTTCATTTGCAGGAGTAGAAAAATGAAGATCTTTGTCTTGTTGAGGTTGTTGAAGAGACAAAGAACCTTGAGCATGAGTAGTTGAACCTAGTTGTAGTTGTTGTAGAAGTTGTCGTTGATCGCCAGTTGATTAATGTTGAGCAGCCATTATTGAATATAAACAAGAACATGAACAAGGGTTATAGAGAGTTTTTAGGGCTTGAAAGTGTGGGATAGTGGTAGATAAAATGTGTGAAGTGGGAGTGAGTGGTTTTAAATAGAAGTTTTTGAAATGATGAAAATAACTTGATTTATTTAAAAAGTTCTGACGAGGAGTAAAGCGAAGAGATTTTAACCTAATCCCAACAAAATCTCTTCTCCCATCGAGTCACATCAAGTGCTAGGCGTGGTTCAAGAAAATACAAGTGTCTTTCTCTTAGTCACTAACCTTTCACTATCCTAACAGCTCATTAATGAAGTAATCTCTTCAGTTTCTGGAGGACATAAGTTTTTCAAAAAGAAAATATTCTGACCTTGGACGTTCCTGATACATGAGAAATTCACTTTTCAGAAGCCTCACATCCCAGAAGAGAACAAAATAAAATACCTCAGGGTCACATTTTCTTATTCTTAGAAGGTGATTATTTTGAAATTACATATTTTTCCTTCTGGACAAGAAACCATGTTAAAGTTCTATAGAATAAAAACAAATCTATCTTTAACAAGGGGTTTTGTAAAGATATCAATCCATTGGTGGTATGTATATATGAATTTGAAAGATAATATTCCCTTATGAGTATAGTATCATATAAAATGACATTTTATCTCAATGTATAGCCCTAAAATGTAAAATGGGATTCTTGGATAAACAAATAGCAGTAATGTTATCACATAGGATATCAATGTTACTATCGTATATCTGGAAGTCTTCTACCTGACTTTTTATCCAGAGGATTTGAGTGCTACACTTAAAAGCATAAATATACTCAACTTTTGCGGTTGAGAGCACTAATGTTGATTGCCTCTTGTTGGACCGTGATATCAAATTATCTCCAGGAAACTGACAACATCCGAAGTTCTTTTTCTCTCTAGTTTGTCTCTGGCATAATCAGCATCAAAATAGCATACTAACTTATATTTACTAGATTTTATATAACACAAACCAAGGATAGTAGTACCTTTTAGATACCTAAAAATTCTTTTTGACAATTGTCAAGTGACATTCTCTAGGACCTGATTGGAAGCGAGCACATAAGTAGACACTGAATAGAATGTCAGGTTCATAAGCAGTCAAATATAATAGAGAACCTATCATACCTCTGTACAATTTCTGATCAACCTTACAACTTACCTTGTTTATATCCAGAATGCAGGTTGGGTGCATAAGGTTCTTTGTCGTCTTACATTCTGACAAGTCAAACTTCTTTAGAAGTTCCTTGGTGTACTTTCTCTGATGAACGAAAGTATCTTCTGGGTCTTGATTGATTTGGATTCCTCAAAATAACTTGAGTTCTCATATAAAGCTCATCTCGAATTCCGCCTGCCTAGACATAGAAAATCACACTTCTCCTTTTTTGTTGATCTTATTTCTAAAGACCCACTTGGTTCCAATAACATGAGTTCCTTTGGGTCTATGCACAAGATCCCACACATTATTAACCGAGAATTAATTAAGCTCTTCTTGCATTTATAGAATCCACTTTGTCCATAAGAGCTTCATCAACAGATCTAGGTTCTATGAGAGACAGTAAACTCAGAAGCATCTTTCTAGAAGGTTTGAATGAGGAATTGGTTCTGTCTTGTCACCCAAAATAAATTCTTTAGAATGTGTAGATTTGTATATATGCTTCCTCAGAGAAGTCTGGGCTTTAACAGCTTCTGGATGAACATCTTCAAAGTCCTTTATCTCTTGTTATTCTACAACAACTTTATTTCCTCATGTAAACCATAGTATTGTCCTTGCGCCACCATATCAGGGTAGTGGGAACATTTGTACCTTGTACTATTTCCTCATTGTAGCGGTAGAAATATTGAGACTAAGCCATTGGATTTACTTAACTCGTACAAATCAAATAAAAACGGCCACGTGCTTTATTGTTTCCAAAGGAAATTGGAAAAGAGCGAATAAACCCCAAAAGAGGGGGAGAATCTAGGTATGGGGGTTGGTTATGCAAATGGAATGTATTAGGACCTTAATCATTTATGGTACTCTGCAATAACCTCTTTGAAAATATGTGTATTTTAACTATAAAATGTGTATACAAAAGAAGATGGTGGAGATGAGAAAAGAAGTATTTTTTACAATTTCCCCCACCGCGGTTTCGAACCTTTAGTGCCTATGTACCACCTTCCATGCAATAGGGGATCAGGGTACTCGTAGTTTACCTAAAAAAATTTAAAACACATGTGTGTTGGTTAATTTTTAAGAGAAGAGACATCATCGTTATATCCGACTGGAAAACATACTTACTACCCAGAATCATGAGAAAGGAGAATTTGTGTCATCTCAAAGTGGAGGATATAACTTGGATTTAAAATACATCACTCAACACCCAAGTGGAAAATGGCTCTCCTTACTACATATCATAGAAGTATAGTAGCTCGCGTCACTACAAGAATTGACAAGAGTCTAATCCTTTGAAAAAAGTTTTAAAGTAAAAAGCCAAAGTGGAAAAATGGTTCGAATGAGGTTAATTGACTTTTAGTCATAAAAAAAATGTAAAAGTATGGTTAAATTGATTAAAGTTTGATTCAAGAAAAGATTTTGAAAATTCATGGACCTAAGTCCAAGTTTATTATGAAAGCGGTTCAAGTTATAAAACAAGAAGAATTTTGAAAAGGAAGAAGGATATTTTTGAAATTAAAGAAGATGGGAGGAGATGAAGGGACTATCCTAAAGCATAAAGTAAAAGCTAAGGAAAAGAATGTTCTAACCAACAAGAAGCCAACACTTGACATAAGAAGTCAATCTAGAATTCCCATCCTTTGGATTAAAACCAAGCAAGCAAAAATACTAAACCTATGACGAATACCAAGCTTCAGATGAAATAAGAACCAAGAAAAGTCTTCATTGACAAAAAGAAATTGGCCAGAGTAACAACTGTATATAAATGAATTCTCAATCACTGACAAAGCATGAAAATCAGAATAACAACAGAGCAACAAGGTCCCCAAGTATTAAGACTTCTAATCTTAAGTCTGAGAGATCCACAACTCCATAATTCCAAGGATAGTAACCAAGTAGTCCAAGTAACCTTAAAGATTTTAATGTTCAAGTCTATTATTAAGTGTATTTAAAAGAAAAGAAAGCTCAAGTGAGCAAATAAAAAAATGACATAAAAATAAATGCTCAAGTGAGCATAAGAAAAAAATGGCATGAGATGTAGATGCTAAAAAATAAATGGTACATAAAAGTGAAGGAATAAAATAAAGGCGTAAAGTAAATTTAATTGTTAGTGAATTAGAATTTAGAGGTCAAATATAACAAAAGGTTAGTTGAATGACCGTCTTGAAGCTTGCTTTTGAAAACTCATTAGAAGATTGATAAAATCAAAGCCTCTCAACAACAAGTTTCATTTGCCTTTTGTCAAGTATATTATTCATTTCAAGTGCTCAAGGCAACCACATATGATCAACGATGCTCAAATTATTCACTTAGACCAAAATTCATGAAGTTCATTAGAGGATTGATATAATCAAAGCCTCCTAACAATGAAATTCAAAGTTATTGGATCCAAGGTTTCAAATTAAACATACTTAGGCTTTCAAACATACGTTTGGGCCACAAATGATCATTTTTCAAATCGGGACAAATTCAGTGCTATGTTAAGCAATCATAAGTGGACTTTTGTAGATGTGTAATATGGTGGGAGAACTGAATTGAGTGTTTTGTGTTTTATCGCAATTGTTTCGGATAGCAAGAGTCGCCACCGCCTTTTATTTTATTCAATAAAGGAAAGGGTGAAAATAACAGGAAAGACCTTTTGAGATATTTTCTTGAGTTCGGGGGGTAGGTTATGAAAAGGAAAGGTGTTAGTACCCTTTTCATCCGTAGTTACCTACGGGCTCTTAGTTGCTAGCTACTTTAAAATTCTTTGTAAAATGTGTTTGTGATTTATTTTGAAAGTATTTTTGAAAAGTGTCTTTGTTTAGGCGAACTTTGTAATGATTCTCATCTCTATAATAATGTATACAAAGTGTTTACTTTTGAAGATATTTCATGAAAGATGTTTTTTTTTGGAAATATTTTTTGAAAGTGTGAGTGTGGAGATGGATTTGTTTGTGAGCAAGCAACTACGAGCGTTCTACCTACTCAAAAAGTTTTTGTTCTTTTCCTTATCCTTTAGATATTGCTATCTCATCATTGATTGGTAAGAAGCCCTATCATTAGATGTCAAGGGACGGGCGTGGGTCATCGTACAGTCATAGAAGGCAACATTGTAGGATACCTTAGCAATTTGTTGTAAGGGACTAAGATCGTTTACCAAA